CTGGCCGCAATGTATGCAAAACAACAACAATATTTTCTCTACCTCGGCCAGCATAGTTATGCTGGCCAACCACATCGGTCAGTAAAAAAAAAATGTTACCAACGCAATAAGCGAACTATTGTGAACCTTCATTGAAAATTCCAACGAATAGTGCAATCAAATGTCAAAAATTGAGGAAATAAAAATTCAAACAGAATTCAAAAATTTGAAAAATCTTGAAAAGTAACGAAGAAATAATAAGAATGGAGAAATCGTAAGTATTAAGCACATTGAATTTTTTATTATGTTAGTTATTACCAAGTAATATTTATTTTATTTCATTTAATTTGTAGTTTACATATGTAAAATTAATAAACAAACATTATTTTTGAAGTTTTTCTAAAAATTTTTTTATAGAAATACACCCAAACTATGGACCACAAAGGAAACGAAATGTTTTCTAGAGTGCTACTTGACACGAAAGGAAGAGAATCTTCAGAGGAGGTTGTTGCGGCATTCATAACATTTAAAAATTCCGTGAAACAACTTGCATCCGTCGGCCACTGCAAAACGTTGCTTTCTTCTCCCAATATCGACAGTACCTACAAAAATTTACTTATCTTAGTGTTTTATTTTTAAATTTCCAATATTCTTACCATTCCTTTTAATTCCGTGTTCATTTTATTTTTATAATATTTTTATAAAAATATATTTGATTTATATGCACATATACAAGATTTGCTGTTTGTCAAAACAAAACATTTGACAGATTGCAAACAGTGATGCCAATGACTCGCGTGGCCAACATAGGCCAACATGTATTTTTTTGCCGTACTTGCGAGCCACCGAAAAGGCCTATTATGTAAAATAGCGCAAGCATATATCCAACGCGTTGCTTCGTGAATGCTGTTATTGCTTTTAATTTGCAATTTTAGTTCTTTTAAACTGCTGAATCTCTCTTTTAATAAACCGAAACAATGCTTGTTAAGTTTAACAAACCTAACATATTTTAGCTCGTTTGTAGTTACACTTATGCAGCAAATAAATATTGTAAATATTAAATACATTGTTTACGTTTATAAGTTCAATAGCTTCACATATTGTATTTATGCTTATGCAGCAATATGTGAAATTTAAATTATTATTTTAGTTATCAATAATTGTAAATATTATTATGCTTAGTAAGTAATTCTATACTATATAAGGTAACAATATTGATAATAAAACTCGAGAGCGAAAACAATCGTCTTTCCTTCAAAAACAAAATTTGGTTATTGGTAGATGAGCCTTTTAACCACTATAGCAAGTAAATAAAAATTATTTACTTACTTGGCTAGCGGTTTATGTGCCTGCAAGCCTTTCGTCATAAATACCTGATTATTGGTTTATGTGCCTAATAGTCAGTGTAACGAAGTAAGAAAATACATTATTTGATACCACCTCAGATTACGTGGTATTACATTGGTGACCCCGACGTGATTGGCAAGAGCAACTCAGTGTGAGCCAGCAGCGTTTACAAAAACCTTCATTGAAAACAACTTTTTTCAACGGAAATACAATAACCATGGATCCAAAATCAATATCCACTTTAACTGACCAGCAGGATTCAATTGGTTCAGAGATTGACAGAATCATTCGCAACTTCAAGAAGGACTCACCCAGCAGGAAAACACGTCAATATCTCGAAGATCGTAAAACAACTTTAGAACAGTTATTAGCCGACTTCAAGGCTAATGATGAGCGACTACAACAAGCCGATGTACTAGCAAGAACATCGGAATATTTCACACAAGATTACGGCATGGTAATCATAAATTTGGGTAACAAATATATCACCACAATAACTCAAGAGCTGGAAGCATTACCCATTAAGGCTCAACCATCAACAATAAAGGGGTTGGACCTTCAAATAAATAATGATGTTGAAGCTCCTGAAATAGTATTACCTACTGGTGGTCAAGAGAATGAAATTATTCAGGCATTAACAACAGACGAAATGCAGTGTGTAAATCAATCAATCGTCTCATCCACAATGTGAGACAAGATAACCAGCAACAGGTACCACAATATTTTGCAGTAAAATTAGCTACGCTTACCAAGCTATGGGATCAGGCTGAAGGTTTAAATTTTACTATTCAGGAACGGCAAGACAACCCTCCTGATTGCAATCATTATCTAGCACTGGAACAGTTGGTGCAAGATACAATGGTGGAATGGACTAGTAAGTCGACCAAGATTGAGACATCAATTAGGTCAACTTATCAACCATCGGCTACTTTGCCAACAATATCTCTTCCAAAGTTCAGTGGAGATTATTTGAGTTGGCGACAATTCAGTGATCTGTTTGCACAACTGATACACAATCAAAGAATATCAGACTCACAGAAACTCTGGTATTTGAAAACCAATATTCAAGGCGAATATCAAATATCAGATGCAAATTATGAGACGGCATGGCAATTACTACAAAGTAGATATGAGAATAAAAGAGTTCTAGTATCAGCAGTTTTGCAACTTTTGACAGCTCAAAACTCTTTATATGACCATCCAACAGTCCAAGCCATCAAAAATATGAATGACACAACAAAGGAAAGTCTATGTGAACTTCATAATTTAAATATTGAAACATCAACTTTGGATCCAATTTTAGTACACATACTACTAAAAAAGTTGGATAAAAATACACATTGCAGTTTTGAACAAACTCTTACTAACCCAAGGGAGATGCCCACAATAAAACAATTCTTAGAATTTTTAGAATTGAAATTTCAGTCACTTGAGGCTATAGGTCTACGAGACAATGCAGTATATAAACCCAACAAAAGGATAGCCGTAACTATGGTTTGTTCAGATCTATGTAAAGTTTGTAATACAGATAAACATCCGATCTACTATTGCAAAAAATTCATTGAAATGACTCCTCCTGAACGATTAAATTGGATTCAACGACAAAAACTATGTGTGAATTGTTTCAAATCCGATCATAAAGCAAAGGTTTGTGAAGCTGGATCATGTAAAAAATGTGCCAAGAAGCATAACACTTTGCTTCATTTAGAGCAACAGTCACCTAAACCTTCAAGGGCACCAGCAACAAACACAAAGTCAACCACAACATTGATCAACGCTAATGAATCGCCATCCATAACAGCAACAACTAATGCAAAGTGTACTCGTAATTACGTTCTGCTAGCCACTGCAAAGGTGCGCATTATTGCAAACAATGGACGAACGTGTGATGTTCGTGCCATACTCGACTCAGGGTCTCAAGTGAACCTAGTAACCCAAAGAGTAATCAACAAGTTATCTTTAATTACCACAAATTCAAATCTATCGATCGAAGGTATTGGCCGTCAATTCGGGAACTCAAAATCTCGCGTAAATGTTGAACTGCAGGCTACTAATGGAAGCTTCAGGACGAGACTAGAGGCATTTGTACTGCCACAAATAATATCAGCACAACCGTCACGAGACCTAGATATCTCGGATTGGCAGATCCCACAGAATGTAGAATTAGCAGACCCCAGCTTTAACAGATCTGGAAGAATTGACATGCTAATTGGTGCTGAATTCTATCATACTCTACTTCAACCAGAACAATTGATAATAGGAAAAAATTCGCCACTGTTACAAAATTCGGTTCTAGGTTGGTTGGTGGTTGGTAAGACTAAAACTACAACAGATAATAAACCAACATGCGCTATTATTACAGGAGAAGTTGGTGAAATGTCAGAAATGATAGAACGATTTTGGAAGTTAGATAACCTTGAGACTGCAGAAAGGGTTTTGACTTTATCTGAGAAATGGTGTGAAAATCACTTTACAAATCATGTAAAGACAGGTCACGATGGTCGTTTCATTGTACGCTTACCTTTCCGCGATGATCCCACAACACTTGGTAGATCGCGTGAGATAGCATTCAATCGATTTTGTTCTCTGGAAAGGAAGTTACAAAGGGACCCAAATTTATACAAGGAGTACATAAAGTTCATGGATGACTACGAGTCATTAGGTCACATGGAAAAAGTTTGCCCGAAAGATGTCAAAGAAGCACAATATTTCATTCCTCATCATTGTGTCTTGAAACCTGACAGCACTACAACCAAATTGAGAGTTGTCTTTGATGCATCAGCAAAAACATCAAGCGGTTTAGCACTAAACGATATTTTGCACAAAGGTCCAACAGTGCAAAGTGATCTTTTTTCAATACTGTTGCGTTTTAGAATACACCGGTTTGTATTTACGGCTGATATTGAGAAAATGTACCGGCAAATTCAAGTACATGATGAAGATACAGCACAGCAGCGATAATCTGGAGAAAAAGTGCTGATGATAGTATACATACGGTTACATATGGAACGAAGTCAGCCCCTTATCTTGCAACAAAATGTCTTCAACACCTTGCGAAACATAATATGACCAACTATCCGCTTGGAGCACCTGCATTACTTAATGATTTTTATGTAGATGACTGTTTAAGCGGAACTAACAGCATCATTACCGCCTTAGACACTCAACAACAACTTACGGAACTGCTCAGTAAATCAGGATTTAAGCTGAGAAAATGGTGCTCAAATAATACACGACTCCTACAAAACATTCCGATAGAAGACCAAGAAATCAACCTTGATTTAGATGACTCAGCCATAAAGCCAACAAAAACATTAGGCATTATTTGGCTCCCGAAATCAGACGAATTTTGCGGTAAGGCAGAGATGTCATCAGAGCAACCTATCACGAAGCGGATTGTGGCATCGGACTTAGCTCGAATTTTTGATCCTTTGGGAATTTTTGGCCCCATTACTGTAACAGCTAAAATATTCATACAGGAATTGTGGCAACAAAACTATTCCTGGGATGCGAAACTGTTACCTCAGGCTCAGCTAGAATGGAAGCGTTTTAGAAATGACTTACAAACATTAAATACTGTGAAAGTACCCTGACATATTTTTAATTCGACGGTTCCCTGTTCGATTCAATTACACGTGTTTACGGATGCATCAGAGAAGGCATATGGAGCAGCTATGTACGTGCGAGCAATATATAATGATAAGACAATAACATCGAGACTATTGTGCGCCAAATCTAGAATAGCACCATTAAAGAAACAGACACTACCACGACTAGAACTCTGCGCAGCATTGCTGGGAGTCGAATTAGCAGAAAGAGTTAAACAAGATTTAAAGTATCAAAACGTGCCAACCTACTTTTGGTCCGATTCCAAAATTGTTTTGTCATGGATAATATCTTCATCTGCCTCATTGCACACATTCGTAGCAAATCGTATTAGCAAAATTCAAGAGATGTCACATGCTGATCAATGGCATCATGTGGCGTCAAAGGATAATCCTGCTGACATCATTTCCAGAGGAATAAAAGTTAAAATGTTCAATTATTCACATATATGGTTTTTTGGTCCACTCTTCCTTCATGGACGCAACGAATTTTGGCAACAGCCAAACCTAAAGGCATTTAACATCTCAACTGATATCGAAAGACGACAAGGACATACAGTTAACATTATCATTCAAACGACTGGTTCTGATCACATGATAAATCAAATTGATCATCGAAACTCATTCAGATACCTCCAAAGAACAATTGCTTATGTTCGCCGTGTATTTCATCGCACACAATCACCAACAAGAACACTTTCTCCAAAGGAATTACGAGATGCATTAGACTTCATAATTAAAACTATTCAGGACTCAGAATTTGCAAAGGAAATCTCTGACTTAAAACAATGTAAAGCAATCAACAGTTCGAGTCAACTAAATACTTTAGCACCGTTCATTGACGAACAAGGTGTACTTCGTGTTGGAGGAAGGCTTGAAGCATCAACATTGCCATATGATGCTAAACACCCAATGGTAATTCCTTACAATCACTCAACAGTGAAATTGATGTTCAAAATGAAACATGAAGAAAATTCCCATTGTGCTCCACAATTATTGCTAAGCATAATGAGACAAAACTTCTGGCCGATTAAAGGAAAGATTATGGCGCGAAACATTGTTCACAGCTGTGTCATCTGTTCAAAGGCAAAACCAAAACTGATGGACCAACTCATGGGCAACTTACCGACTGATCGAGTTACTCTGACTAAACCATTTTTTACCACAGGAGTTGATTACTGTGGTCCGATATGGATTCATTATAAAATTAGAGGAAAAAGGCCAACAAAGGCATATTTAGCCGTATTTTGCTGTTTCGCGACTAAGGCTGTTCACCTAGAAGTGGTGAGTGACCTGACAACAGAGGCATTCATAGCCGCTATTCAACGTTTTATCAGCAGAAGAGGAAGATGCCAAACAATTTATAGTGACAATGCGACTAACTT